TTGTCTTCATCACATCTCGGACATTGCTTCTGGTTCAGCTTTATGTGTCTGGCTAGGGGGGTGCTCACTGTTTTGGCTTTGTCCATGCTAAATCTCTTCAGAATCTTCTCAATATATTTCTCTTGACTCAGCCACAGTAGCTTCTTCTGTCTATCTCGGATGATCTTGATTCCGAGAATCTGCTTTGCAGGGCCGAGGTCCTTCATTGTGAAGGACGAGCTCAACGCCTTTTTTAAGGTGACTATCCTCGATTTATCTTTCCCTACAATAAGCATGTCGTCAACATATAACAACAAAATCAAAAAATCTCCGGTCTCATACCTCTTCACAAATACGCAGTGGTCGGCTTCAGTCTTCTCAAACTTATGATCAGTCATGAATGATTCAAACTTCTTGTACCACTGTCGAGGTGCTTGCTTCAAGCCATAGAGGCTCTTCTTCAACCGACATACCAAGTCTTCTTGGTCTGGAGCTTAGAATCCTTCAGGTGGCTCTATATATATTTCTTCTTCTAAATCACCGTGAAGAAATGTCGTCTTCACGTCCATTTGTTCTACCTCGAGGTCCATCGAAGCCGCCATGGCTAACACGGTTCGGACCGAGGTCATTTTCACCACAGGAGAAAAAATCTCCTCAAAATCTATTCATTTCTTCTGATTGCAGCCTTTCACTACAATTCGGGCTTTGTATCTCGGCTTCTGCCCGTTCTCTTCATTCTTAATCTTGTAGACCTATTTGTTTTTCAAAGCTCGTCTTCTTTTAGGAAACTCGGTCAGATCATAAGTCTGATTCTTATGCAGAGACTTAATCTCGTCTTGCATTGCCTTTTTCCATTCTTCTTTCTCTGAGCTCGTTACAGCCTCATCATAACTCTGAGGCTCACCGTCTTAAGCAACAACAGTGTATTTATCAGATGGTATCTCGTAGAGGGTCTTCTTTCTCGAGTTGGATATCTCGGTTGTTCTTCAGCTTGAGGACTCGGTTCATCATTCTCATCCCGGATCTCATCATCAACTCGGACCTCAATGTCTTGGTCATCTTCAGCTTGTTGCTGATCATCATTTTCTTCATTTTCTTGATTTTCTCCCCCTGCTTCAGCTCGGACAGGAGGGTAGGGTTCTTCACGTCTGACAGTAACCCGGACTTTGGGCTTCGAGATGTCATGAATGTTCTCATGCTCATGAAAGATCACATCTCGACTTCTCACGATCTTCTTATTGATTGGATCCCAAAGTCGGAACCCGAACTCACATCTCGGCGAACCAAGATAAATGCATTCTTTTGTCTTCGCATCGAGTTTTGCCCTTTCATCTTTAGGGATATGCACGAAGGCTCGGCATCCAAACACTTTCAATTGATTATAGGCCGCTATCCGACCTGTCCAGACTTCTTCTGGAATTTCTCTTTCAAGTGGCCGTGATGGTGAGAGGTTGATAAAGTCAACAGCAGTTTTGACCACTTCTCCCCAGAATGATTTCGGTAACCCGGCATTGGATAACATGCTTCGTACCTTCTCTTCAATAGTTCTGTTCATCTTCTCAGCCAGTCCATTCAGCTGAGGTGTCTTGGGAGGCGTCTTCTCAAGTCGAATCCCGGCCGCTCTGCAATATGCATCAAATGGGTCGCAATACTCACCATCATTATCTGATTGGACCACCTTCAATTTCTTGCAAGTCTCCCTTTCAACCATAGCATGAAATTCTTTAAAGGATTGGAGTACCTGGTCTTTAAAACTTCAACAAATATACCCACACTTTGCGGGAATGGTCATCAATGAATGAAACAAAGTATTGAGCTCCTCCAAGGGATCTTTCCGACATGAAGCAGACATCAGTATGGACGAGGTCAAGAATATACCTGCGTCATCTTGGTTGATCCGGTCTCACAAAAGAAACCTGGTGCTGCTTTCCAGCTAGGCAATGCGTGCAACTCTCCAACGCTTGGCCTTTCAACCCGGTCAGTAATCCTTTCTTTTTCAGGATCTGAAGCCTTTTTTCGCTCATGTGGCCGAGACGCTTGTGCCATAGCTCCAAGCTAGGTTCATCTCGGACAGAGTTGGCTTCTCCGCCATTGATCTTTCCTTGCATCACGTACAAGGAGCCTTCCTTCTTACCTCGGACCACGACCAAGTTTCCCTTGGCCAGCTTCCATCTAACACTACCGAAGTAGTTCACTAACCCGACATCATCAAGTTTGCCTACCGAGATTAGGTTCAAACGCATGTCAGGAACATGCCTTACATCTTTCAACACAAGTCGGCATCTGACATCCGTGGTCAGAGTTACATCACCGACACCAACAATCTTGCTGGTCACTTGATTTCCTATCTTCACGACTCCAAAATCACCACCTCGTTAAGAGGAGAAAAAACCTTTGTGTGGAGTAACGTGGAAGGAGGCACCAGAGTCAACAATCCAGGTGCAGTCATCATATGAAACATTCAAATAATTATCCTCACCAAGGAGGAATATCTCGGCATCCGGGTTGGCAGCCACCGCAGTGGTGCTCTTGTCTTCCCTCTTCTTGGGAATAATCTGATTCGGCTTCACAGAGCCGTTCTTCTCATCATTCTGCAGGGTCCAACAGTCTGGCTTCTTATGGCCTGTCTTTTCACAGTAAAAGCACTTCAACTCATATTTCGGCTTTGACCGGCCTCTGGACTTTTCTCGTCTGTCACGACCTCTACCCCTGCTTTTGCTTCTACCCCAGTAGTCAGATTTCCCTTTGTTCTCAGCAATGTTGGCCTCAGACGTGCTTGAAACACCTCGTTCTCTTCTCCTGACTTCTTCGCTCAGGAGGCTGTCTGTCACGACATCCATCTTCAACTTTCCTTCTGGAGCTGAATTTCTCAAAGTCACTACCAGAGTATCCAGCTTTCTGGCAGCGAGCTCAACAGCAGCAAAACTTGCATCTCATTATCAATTTTCATCTCAGCTTTTGATAGCTGATTCACAATACCTTTATAGGTGTTGAGGTGTTCAATCATGCTCATGTCGTCCTTGTATTCAAGCTTCACAAGTCGGCGAACCAGGTATGCTTTATTCCTGGGAGTCTTCTTGTGAATCATGGACTCCAGCTTCGTCCACAACTCATACGCGTTCGTGAACTCGGACACGTGCTCAAAGAGGCTTTTATCAATATATTTCCTGATCGTGGCTACCGCCTTCCGACTCAGGATCTCCCACTCCTTATCAGTTTTTCCTGCCGGTCTCTCATCAAGGATAATGGGCTCATGTAAATCTTTGCAGTAGAGATGATCTTCCATCATCGGTCTCCAATAGGTGAAATTATCTGCGGTGAACTTGAACATGTCTCCATCATTGGTTATGCCACTGGTCTCCATCTGGTCTTCCTCAGAACCCGTCGAACTCGGGCTCTGATACCACTGTTGGGAAAACTCGGTTCCCTCAAGCTCAGCTCAGGGGCCTTTGTGCGGAAGTCAATCAACAAGATTCTGATCGCGGATCTCGGCAATACCTCGGCCTGAATTTCACGAGGTCAGGCAACGCAGCGGAAAAATTAAAAACGAAAAAAAGGAGAGGGAGTGAGAGAGAGAGAGAGAGAAAGGGAACACAACCAGTTTTAACGTGGGAAAACCTTCTTCAATGAAGAAGTAAAAACCCACGGGACCTAGTCCAGATCAGAAATCCACTATGAAAATAATGGTTACAAATAATCAGAATCACCAATGTGGTGGTTAACTCAACCTCTCCAACAATGGTGATAATCAAACCTTCCTAGAGATGTTTCACTCAAACTCTCTCTAGAGATCTTTCAAATACAAAGCATAAAGCTTTGCTCAAATCTCTCAAATAATTCTCTCAAATTTTCTCTCTAATCTCTTAACCTAGCCTCCACCCTCAACTAATGAATATATAGAGGAGGTGGAATTTAGGGTTAGGGTTTTTAGGAAACCCCTCAATGGGCTTGGGCTTAGCATTGAAGGAGGAAGCCCAACAGGTTGAATTGTAGAATACATTCAAGGGGCATTGTTATAAAATATTATGGATGACCTTTCACATGATTCATAATACATGACTCTTTGTTTTTCATGAACACTGATGTATTCTATAATCATCACACTAATGGTGTGTTGAATTGTAGAATACATCAAGGAGGAGTGTTGTAAAATATTGTGAATGACCTTTTACATGATTCATAACATGTGACTCTTTATTTTTCATGACCTTTGATATATTCTACAACCATCACACAAATGATACGTTGAATTATAATTATTCCCTCAATTGTGTTTAAAGTCCTGTATAAGGACATATCTTATATGAAAAAAGTGATACTTGATAAATTTAGAATATAATAATATTTTCTTACTTTTAAAAGCTCATATTTGTTCTTATCTTATTCTACTTTTTATTTTTATCTACAGTTCATTTTCCTTTCTTTTATATTTTACAATAATTTTTATTTATATTATTTTATAATTTATTTTATATTTATAAATATTTAAATTTATATATTTTTTATTTTTTAAATAATAAAAATTTTAATGAAAAAAAATATTTGACCCGCAGGCCAGTCAACTAAATTATAAAACTTTAAAAATTAGGGCTAAAAAAGCCCCATCACAAAATACCCTAATGAATTAGAGCCAAATATAATATTTTGCGAACTGACCCGCAAATTTGGACCCACTTTAACACCTCTAGTCACTTCTACGGGTATTTGCCTGCTGATTCATTGTTATACGTGTTATCCATCGCAAATTTGTTATTATTCTATTAATATCAAATCAAAACAATAATTCCTTGTATGACTTATGTGTTTTGTCGAGTAATTCTTCTTTTCCGTATTAGAGATGCTACAGAATTCCATGCATTAACATGTCCATATCTATGAAAAGTAATCAAACTTTTAACGCTGTTCCATGGTTGACATGTTCAAGACTTGCGGAAGTCTTAAGACAACAATCAAAAAATTGAATTACTTTTGTTTGTTTGTTTTTTTTTTTTACTTTAGAAGTTGTAAGTTTGAATCCCATCACAAATAGGTTATCTCTTTGTACAACTTCCCATCAAAGAATAAGAACATAAACTATTGGATTGTATATTTACTCTCATTCAATTCCATAAATTAAAATCCGGTGAGACTAGGACTTTTTTGGGGACATAGACTAATTTAGATGAGCTACATTTCTGTCCCCGAGACAGAGATAAAACATTTACGTAACTTTAATTCACTCCCATGAATTAATAACAGTTGGTTAAAATGGGCCAGGTCTCTCCAACCTTATTTGTAGGCTGAGAAGCAACCGGTATTAAACCTTACCTACAAAAATGAAAAAAACTATCAAATCACCATGAGTTAAAGAAATATATGTGAAACCAAAACAAATGCGAAGAAATAGATGAGTTTGATTATATATCAATCAATGGTTAAGATGTAAACATTACTGTTTTTGGTGGTAATATTTGTCAAGCAGCATCTCTGAATACTCTCCAAAAGTAAGGGCAGAATTTGATGGAATAAGCTGGAAAAAAATTGATAAAAATTCAGCCCATTCTTGAATCAAGAAATGTTGGTTACCTCTTTAATATGCAGGAGGCAGCAGCTCGCCTAAAATATACTACTAGGAATGCTAACTTCACAGATTTCAGAATTTCATATTTCTGAGATGGATTTGAAGCTGTTTAGTTAAACAGAAAACAATCCCGGTCCCATCATCCACTAAATTAGAGGTTATGTAAAACATGGAACTTAAAATGATATCAGCAGACAACTGAATCCCCTGTATGAAGAATTTTATTGTCTTATGTGCACTTTCTACAAGATCCATAACTATTACTTCCTAATAATAAAATCACAGATGATATTGTAGTCTCTCTGTTTATTTCCTTTTTTTTTAATGTCACCTTTTTTCTTTCTTTTCTTGATACATTTTAATGTCATCTTTTATCAATACTTATTCAAATATCATATTTTGTAAAGGTGCATGGTTTAATGCTGAATGTGAAGAATGGTCATGACTTCAGGAATACATACCTCTTTATGAATGTGAACTTCCTCAGGAAAACTGAGTTTTTCATCCCTGAAAGCAAAAATATTGACACATTATTATAGAATTTAGCTCAGATTCATCGTTGACCTCAACTTTCTCTAATTTTTTAGCATGTTAGCATGCTGACTTATAATTCTACTATTTAAGTAACTCCAAACATCATTAAAGCAGCAGAACCATCTAGCATTACTTGCTCAGACTCAGAGAACATACCAGTCAGGTTGCATGAATAATGCAAATGTCGAGCGCTCAATACCAGAAGACTCCTCCCCCTTAGGAGCCTAAAGTATCATAACATCCATATTTTATATATAAAAAAATTGCCAGTAAAAAGAAAACGTAGTTAAGAGTTAAAGAAATTCCATTTGGGAATATCTAGACAAGATCAAGCTATAATCTGAGCGACACAAGGGAAACATGATGCCCAATATATGGCTAACATTAAGGGAAACATTCATTTAATAGTTTATCTATTAATGTTAATAAATAATATATATTTAATTTAGTAATACAATTTTGTCATACACAACAGCATAGGCATTAGGTACTTATCTGTCTTTCTTTTTCTTTTTTCTTTTTTTCCAGTAGGTCTCCAAGCAAACTTAGCCAACATCATCTAATATTCAAACAACCAGCATCCAGACCCACATACTTGAAAGAAAACAAATAAAAGGGCATAGAAACAACACTTTATATTTTAATGCTGAAATGAACTTTATAAAGCATTTTAATAAGAAAATTGACCATCACTGTAGAAGAAAATCACACTTGAGAAAGATATAATTGTGACACCAACAATTAGCATGGAGTACAAGAAACCAATGGTGTAATCATGTAAGGCAAAAAAACAGGAGGAGGAATACATAAACAACTTGATTCAACAGGATGCCCGCGACATTCTAAGTCTATAACAAAATAGGGACTAAATAATTCTGCATGTATTTGGAAATTTTTAAATTACCTGAACACAATGAGGTGTTGCACAAAGATAACCTCCAGAAAGTATTTCAGTGGTTTCACCAATTTGGTAAGCTATATCATCTTTTCCATAGACAACCTATAACATAAAAAATATACAATGAATAAGTGCATTGTACTAATTCATAAAAATTCTAAGCTTCATATTCACACCATTTAGGGAGAATGTCTCAGATTTTACAATTTTAAACCTTCAAATGCATGTAACCTAACAGATTTTTTCAGAAGAAAAAAAGAAGGAAAAAAAAGATCCATGAAATGCTTTTATTGTTAACAGTCAAGCATTATTTATAGGAGCCCATGTGTCATATATTGAACTTGTTCATCCCCAAACATAAAGGGAAGGAGCTAAAATGCAATCCTAAAAGATCATGCAGAATCATGTCTCTGATGAAACATAAAAGTAGATTCAATATGTACACATTTCGTGATGACACTGCAATCATTTGAATTGACATATCTATTGACCAAAAAATAAAATGCTTTGATATATATCATCCACACCAGATAGATATAAGGCATCTGAAACCACTTCACAAAAAATTTACAGTCCAAAATGATTCAACACTATCAAAAGAAAGGAGACATTTTACCAACAATTTTAATGATATAACATCTCTGCCACTTATAAGTTGATTGAAAAGGAAGGATAATTCATGTCAAAAGAAGATGAACCAAAAAAAGATTTTAATGTTGCAAGTATGTACTTTTTTAATCATTTATATCATCCAGCGTTACTTGCAAATCAAGATGAAGAATATATACTTTGACAGTTTGATCATTTCTTGTTCGAATATACAGACCAGCAGCTCTATCAGGGCAAGATAGTTCTACACCATCTCTCATAAACATAGCACAAGTCAGACCTACATATTGAATTGAAATGGAAATTAGACAAGTGATAGCAGTACACATGAAGAACAATAATATTATTTCTCTCGGTGACATTTTATGTTTTTAACATTCATGGACATGGACTTCTCTAATCAATTTAACTAGAGGAATATAGGGTCTAAGAAGTTGATATTACACTGAATGAAAATATATGAAAGTGGCAATAAACATATGATAATAACCTGTCAGTGAACCATGGTCTGTATGCCAACCACACCAAGAAGACAGAGAGTTACCATCCGGGATTCTGTAACAAGCCATGTGTAAATAGTTAATATACTGTCAGGCATGCGCAAAAGCTGGAAAGCACGGACACGCAAATTTAAAAAAAATTGCGTGTCCGACACGTCTTCGCTCGGACACGCGGTCAATATTTGGGAACACGTGGTCAATTCTCTGACACGTTTTTTCAACACGCAGTCAATTTTTTCCGACACGCAGTCAACGCTCGGACACGTTTTTTTTTTTTTTAATCTTAATTTTATTTTGTTAACTAAATATAAAAGAAATAATTTATAAATTAATTTTTTTCTATTATGAAATTTGACATGAAAAATTAACAAAGTACGAAAAATTATTTATATTTATGTTATGAAATTTAAATATTTGATTGGTTATATGACTTATTATGAACTCTTATATGTATTAAATATAAATTATATTATATATATTAAAAATTTTATTTAGTATCAAAACGTGTCCCAACGTGTCGAAATATGACATTTTTTAGAATTAACGTGTCAGCATGTCGTGTCGTGTCCCGTGTCCGTGCATCATAGCGCAAAAGGATAAACTAGAAATGTATGCTATATTAAATTATAATTATATTAAACTTGAGAACTATAATATACTCTAAACAGCATTCTGATGTGAACTGAAAAACTTTATGACTACAGACTATAACCAAGTCTAGAAGTAAAGATATTGACCAATCTATTTCCATAGGAAAAAATGTTATGCCTTTAACCAGCCATCCAAAATGTAATTGTTCTTCTGCTTCTATCACATTGGTATTTCAAGAGAGTTAATATTTGATATCTTTACAACTTATGCATATAGAAAATGTTTACACTAGCCAATTAAAGAACTTGTAGCTCAATTGGCAGCAGCCAAGTCTTTTAAAGAATTGGGATGGATGATGATTTCAGAGGTTCAATCCTCCACTATGCCACCTAAAAATCATAATTGAAAATAAAGTAATGATACAAAATCCAAGATATAGTTATTTTAATATGTGATGTCATTCAAATTCAGATACCTTTAAAATCTTAAAATCAACTTAAAATTGTAGTATTAAAATTCATAAATTCAAGGCATACTATAGTCTCAATTTTAATTTTTAAAATTCGAACCAAAGATTTTTTTAATGAAATTAAAACTAGAAAACTCAACTTTTTAGGATAATTAACTGTAAAAAGATACTGTTAAAATCTTAAAATCAACTTTAAATTATAATAACAAAATTCATAAATTCAAGGCATACTATAGTCTCAAATTTTAATTTTTAAATTTGAACCAAAGATTTTTTTAATGAAATTAAAACCAAAAAACTCAAATTTTTAGGATAATTAACTGCAAAATAAGGTTTTTAAGAAGAAGAAACGACCAGACTAAACTAAGTCTCATCACCAATGTTCACGTTTTTCTTTTTTGGTGGACAATGTTCACGTATTGGTCCTTCTAAATATTTAAGCTAAATTACCAAACGTAAGCTTAGTGGTTTCATCAAAAACCGACCTAGAAACCTGATAATAAGCAAAGAGACCGTGTACATTACCCCTGTTGTGCAGGAAAATAATATAGCAAACGTCCTTTATGACTGCGGGAGCGATGAAGTATTGATTCCAGACCTTCATCCTTGTGGATTTTCATCCTTTTGGATACTGACAAGTCATTTGAAGTTGGCAATAGATTAAGAAAGCAATAGAAATGAGAAAAAAGAAAAAAAACAAAGTGCAGTATGTAATGGAACTTAGTTATGAACAAAAAGGCAAGAGTGACAATTGCCATATACTTGTAAATAGCCCCGCTTTAGCGTGCTATAGCGGAGTTGCGTTGCGGTGCAGCGGCCAGCCGCCACAGACCGCGCCGCTACGGTCAGGTGAAGTGTAGCAGATGTAGCGGCCGCTATTGCGGCTGATTCGCGGCGCTATTGCGCCGCTGCAATAGTTTCTGCAAAAGTGTTCTCGTCGTAGAAGGAAGAGATTTACAACTTAGATACAAGTTAAAGTGAAGATGAAGATTTGGATGTTCATGATTTCAATTATGATTAGTTCCTTAAGTTCTTTGATTTTGACATTTCACTTAAGTGGCAGTTTGAATTTTGACAAATTTTGCCACTTTATTTTGTTGTGTTACATTATTTGAGACATTAATTCCTTCAATTTTCTTATGATTTGAATTTTAATATTTGAAATCAATTATTTTTGAGTTTGAAATCCTTCAAATTTGTTTTTTATGTCACATTTTCACATTTTAAGTTTTATATTTGTGGAGTACAATTTAGTGTATCACTTAGAGCACAGTAGCGTTGTAGCGCTACCCGCTATAGCAATATGGAGAGTCAGCCACTACGCGCTGCTATCCGAGATTAATAAGTATACCACCTAAGAATGAGTGCACCGCCACCCATATGAGGTGCCTAAGGCCTTAACTTGATAAGGGGATAAGAAAGTCACAAACTTTGCCAGAGCAATGTCAAAGGGGGGAAAAGTGAATAAAGATTCATTTTGAGGTAACGCATTTATTTAAATGCTTGATATTGACAAATATTTTAGCGGGAAAAACAATGTTTTCATTCTCTACCCCTAATTCTCATCCTATTCCACATAAAACCATTAACAGCTACAACATTATAAGAAATGCCACTTCAAATTGCAAAGAAATGTTTATTTGATTTCAAAATAGGACAGAAAATTACCTTTCCAAGGGAAAAATAAACAGAAAAGTGGTCCAACTTCCAACAGGCAACAGTACATATGAAATAGAAAACTAAGGGAACACCAAGCCAAACAAATATCCATGGCTGTCTTACCATATTGATCGCAGTGATATGCCAACATCAATCCAACATCAAATATCAGCTTCCCAAGTGTTTTGAAAGCTACAAGTCAGAAATAAACAGTGAACATGCAACCAATCATGTTACATCCAGCAAAACATAAAGATCACATAAACTAGGACAATTTATTAACCATTATCTAATGTTGATTTGGAAGATGTATAAATACTATGCTCTTAACCTTCTAATTATAAGTTCAAAATCCATTAATCAAGGAAAACAAGAAACTGAAGCTTTGCTCCCACTTTACCGTGAAAAGCTTTAAGGATGAAAAATTATAGAGAAATTTACAAAAAAAGAGAGCAGTTATTGGTAAAAATATTTCAGGTTAGGAATATTTAAACACTCAACTTGAACTGGTTAATGATGCTCATAGTGGTTAATAAGTAAGTAACCACTTATTGACTGGAAATATTTTAACCAAGAATTCCTTTATTGTAAGTTTTTGCAAAAATGAAATAGTTTTTCAAATGTGTAAAAATAGAACTAAGTAACGTCTTCAGTATCATGTAAACTTGTAAAAAGCCACAAAAACTGACAAATGGTATACAAAAGCAAGTAACATAGGTTGATTGCTGAATGCACATAGGCATAGCAACACAAGAAAAACAACTTATGGTCTACAGTCGTCATCTGTGACCATTCATGCAAAACCAAAGGGGAAAAAACATATAAACACAGCAATCTATACCCTCACAGATCAGAAAAACTAACATTGCATAAGCAAAATCAGTTCAGACTTCAGGGCATACCCACTTCAAGTTCTGGTAATGCACTTCTGGGCCATATATTTGATCCACAATATGATGGATACCTGCAGAACACACAAAATCCAAGGCATTGCATATGATCATAGATGCAGAATTACAAAGAGCACTACACAATATAATAAATATGAAATAAAAATTAAGCAAGATATATAAATGACAATAAAATGTTGGTAATATATGTAAAGTTTAAACAGGAATCAATCTATACTGATTTTAAGTGATAAGAAAAAAACAACTTTTTGACTTAGGTGATAACTCGGTATAATTCTGTGACAAAAGTTGTATGAATGTCAGATATCTAAAAGAATAATAACTAAATTAAGATAAAGCAAAAGTAGTATCATATCATCCATATAAAATACTGAAATATCTATAGCAAGAAAGAACTGAATTTTTTTTAATATAACATGTGTTTTCATCCACTTTTACCTTTGTATCAAAGATGCCTCTGTTGTAGGCGTATCAAGTATGGGATTGGCATAAAAAGATCCTTTTAATAAATCTGCACTCAGGGAAGCAAAAAGTAGATAAAAATAATAACAGGCCTCACTTAATAATGTAAATAACAATATCTAACAGGTGAAAGAGTTACCAGGCTTCCCGGATTCAAGTGTCTCTTTCCCATGACTCCAACCGAAATTGTACCTATGAATTCGTGGTGGATAGATCAAGCAAAAGTTATTTGCCGCTGTAGAAAGCTACAAGTACAGGGCATTTGACTAATGGTAAAGAAAAAAAAAATATTGGACGATGGAATGAAGTGGAATATGCAATGCAAAGAGAAACTAGTAGTAAGAAGTCTTGAATACAGATAAGTTACCTACTATGAGGATCTTCAAGATCCTCCTTCACTTCTTTAGGAAGATTTGCCAATCTGACATAGGGAAAGGAAAATGTTATCCCAAACAAAATAAGAGCTGCTAGTGATCTCTCTTGATGTTTTAAAACTAATGCACGGGGAACATGTGTAGAAATACCATCCCAAAGCACATACCTTGGTGCAAGATGCAAAAGATTTCTGCGCAACGAAGAGTATCCTGGGACCTGTAATTAATTCCTATCAGATAATTATGGCAACACAAATTGTAATGCAGACAGAAAATAAACACCCATGAATCGCCAGTTCCAATCCTGCTATATCATATCTACAATCATCTCTTCGAAGGACAAGATGGAGTTTGTGACAAGAAATGGACATAGCTAACCCCATGCTCTTGTTTTTCACAGAAGAAGACATTATTTAAACTAGCAGAGTGGGTTGGTTCAAACTGAGAAACTCTCCCCTAAAAAAGAACATGTTTTGACCTCAAGCCATAAACTGGAAAGGAATCCTGACTAAACTGACTTCATAGGTAAATTAATAACTCTATTCTGTGTTTCGTAAGTTTGCACCATTAAATTGAGCCATTGAGCTTCAACAAAAACTGTTATAGTTGGGAAATTGTACTATAATTCCCACCAAAAGAAAAAAACACACAGCCTTAAGTTGGACTTTTTTGTCCATTGTTTCAGTTTAAATGTTTACAGACTTCGTTAAACTTTATATGCAAGTACCAATTTTATATCTACCAAACAATTACACAGAGTCGCAAAAAGCTAACGTGTCATAAGTGAAATCTGAAGTTCAAAAAAAGTATTCCAAGTTCTTATAGTTGGAGATATCACTTATATTTGTGCCCAAGCCAAGAATTAAGAACCATGTGCAAAAATTCTGAGCCAATTGTGTGAATACAAAACATAATTAACAATTTAATATATTCAATAGCAACTAACTAAATCAATGAATTCTATTCACCCCATCCAAAGAACCCCCTCTTCCCCAAAAATACTAATAATAATAATAATAAAGAATTGTTATACATTAATATTTCAAAATAAATAAATACATGAAAATTGGCATAAACAAACAAGTCAAAATAATGGAACAGCATGCACATACATCAGTGACTGATAAAATCCCCAGCCCGTCGGGTCCAAACCCTTCCTCAATCTTCAACGACAAGTCAGAGTTCTTATCCTGTCAGAATAAATTTAAGAAAAAAAACCGAATCAACAATTCGAACACATAGCCATCATCAGGCCACCAAGTATTACACAAAACAAAGGATCAAACCCACGCAACATATACGGTAGTATAGTAGTTGAAAACCACTTCAGAGTTTTTCTTCACTCAATTATAAAGATGAAAAACACAGATACAGAACAGAACACAGAAAGAGAAAGAGAGAGAGAGAGAGAGAGAGAGAGATTACCTTGAGCTGAGAGAAAGAGATGGAGAGTGTAGTGAGGGTAGGGAAGGAGGTTTGGGACATGGTGTGGCAGAGAATCAGCGAGGAACGACAACGTTTAGAGGAATAGGGCGCGGGAAGAGTATAAGAACCAGCATTGAAGACGAGGGACCTCAAGACGTGAAAACTCATGCTATTTTGATTTTCAATTCAAATCAAAGTTACGTGTTTAAACAGATTGAAGTGACCTCCAATAATTTATTAATATTCTGAGTTGAAAATATAAACGTAAACCACGGTAAAAGTTTAAGCGAATCGAAGCTAAAAAGAGCCTAGAGCCTAGAGCCTAGAGCCTAGGAAGCACGATACTTTTTGTCTTTTTGCCATTGTCATATGTGCCGGGCCCATATTTTTTAACAAAGTATTTTTTTAGAGTAAATATCTTTTCAGGTAAATTTTACAACACCCGTTTTAGTCTTTAATAAATAAAAAAGTTATTCGTGATCCCTAATAAATTTAAAGTAGACTCATTTTAGTTCTTTTGAATGACTAATATGGATCTTTTTTGAATTTGTGAAGAATCACTATTTTAACTAAATGGGTTCATTTTGAATTTCTTAAGAACTACGAATAGCCTTTTTATTTGCCTAAAGCAGGTATCATAAAATTTGTTGAGGATCAAAAAGAGTATTTACTCTTTTTTTTTTTATGAAAGGTCATTTTCCATATCATGATGAAACTAGTAGTCCGCTCTTCATAAAATATTTTTTGCATTCACAAAAATTTAAAGTCAAAATATTGTTTAAACGAAATCAAATATGTATCATTTGAAATAATCCTTTTTATGGGCTCACTTTTTTTTATGAGTTATGTTTATCTCATTTTACATGAGATAAACAATTTTTCTACACACACAAAAAGGTGAGTCCCGCCACTATTTTTTTCTCTCTCCTCTTACATATGGGTCTCACTTGTAATTTTATTTCTATAACATAAGGTAATCACTCTCCTACAACATAAGAAAAATATTTCTCTTTCTTTAATGCACAATAAGTGTATGTGGATGAGTTTTATTTTAGAATAAAATATTTTTGGATACTCAACAAATATTACGAGGTCCACTTAATCTTTTACAAAAAAAAGTCAATTTATTGTCCCTTTAAAATTTAAAATAAATTCACTTAATCGAAATATTAATCCGTCTAAAATTTAAAAAAATTAACAAGAGTTTATTTTGAATTTCAAAAAAATCAAGTGTTATTTTTTTCTAAGAAATTAAATTAGATCCGCTGTTATTTTGTTGTGCAGGACGGAGAAGTACAAAAGTACTTTACTCTTTCTTTTATTATGAAACAGCTGTTTAAATAATTGTATAATTTAAAATTGAGTAATATTACTCTCATGTAACATGAGAGTAGTTCTCTCATGTTACATAGAGAAGTAGGGTCCACTATTTGAAAGTAAAAAAGAAAAAGAGATAAGAAGGAGCACGATTTTCGAAGTGAGAGAAAAGGAGATAAGTATAAAATGAGAGTAGTATTTTCTTTTAAAATTATTCATGTAGTTTTTAATTATTCTAAAAAAAAGGAAAAATATAATTTGAGCAGTAACCAACATAAAGAAATTGCCATATAGAAGCGCGGGGAATACGGAATTGAAGCGTTAAAAAATGGCGGTAGCACTCGCTGCATTGGATGTGACATAGAGAGAGAGAGAGAGAGAGGAATGGAAGATTCAGGAGCGATTCTCGCTCACATTTCATCTTTGAAGGAAATGCTCGACCAGGTTTGTTTTCTTCCCCTCTTCCTTCAGTTTTTCCTTCTGACAGTCTTCCTTGAAAGTTGATTGGAGTTATTATCTTCGAGAAATCAGGTTAACGAAGAAATCGAGACTAATATTCAAATTACGCGAGAGATCGAGTCGAGCATCGTTAGATGCGAGGAGATCGAGAGCGATTTGGCAACCAGGGAATCCGAGTTGATCAAGACGAGTGGCATGTTGAAGTTCGATACGGTTGGATACGTCACCGTCGCTGGTAAGTTCGATTTTCGTCGTTAAAGTTTCTGTTTGAATTCATTTTGATAAATCAAATGCATTGAGTTAGATGTTAGTGGTTTTTCCATTGTATCATTTATTCTTCTGATTCATTGATTCGCGAATTTGTAGGGGAGAAAAAAAATTAAAAGCTCATTTAGCTACCAAATTGTTGGAGAAGTGCATTTCAAATTATATATTTTGTTTCATAAACAGTTCATATTCCTAATTTAACAGTAAATGAATCCGTCTATGGAATCAATTGCTTTTGATTAGTGTTTCTCAGGTTTTTTTTTTTTCTTTGCTTACTACTGGTTTGGGATTTGAATTTTGGAAGTATTTGATTCTGGAACTAATTATATGCTTTTCATTTTAAATTAGACTAAAAATTGAACTTATAAGGAAAAGATTAATTTAATAAATATGTAAATATTGCAGATATTGGAAAGAGAAGGTGTTTTGGCAATTTTTGAATATGAAAAAGCAAATAAATTTTTTTCTTTGTCATGACAGCATTGGTTGGATTGGGCGTTTAGCAATGGGTCAAAAGTTATAGTTGTTAATTAAGGTATAACTTTTTCTACTTACTTTTACCCGTGACATCAGGCCAAACGCTATGATTCGATTTGACTCTGACCCACGTCGGGCCTTGCCAAAATATGATGTTGGTATCACCGATAATCCCTCAACACCTGCCTTCGGCAAAATGTCATCCTTGAGAATCGAATCAACAATCTCAACTCTAATACCAAGTGTTTGATCGAGCTCTTATCACTAAGCCAAAAACTATAGTTGTTAATCAAAACTTAACTCTTTATACTTATCCTCAACAACCTAAATGCCATAGTTCGATTGGACTCCGATCCACACCAGACCTTGTTAAGGCATATGCTAGCCTCACCAACAATCCTCCAACACCTGTCTTCCTTAAAGTGTCATCACTTGGAATCAAACACATAACCTTGGCTAATCGAGCACTTACCACCCCAACACCTACCTTAAATGTCATCTCTAAATCCTAAACCCTAAAGTGTCACCTCTAAAAATTTGAGCCGATGATCTCAGCTCTGATATCAAGTGTTGGATTGAGTATTTACCACCACTAAATCAAAAGCTATTACCGTTAACCAGTGCAATTTTTTCTACTGACATTACCGTCCCCAAGCGCCATGATTTAATATAACTCCACACTAACACTGCAGCGTGGTACAGATTCTTCTTGTTTTTTAATAAAAACTAATCAATTTTTGCACACATCTATTATTCATTCACTTCATAGTTCATAGACATCAAAATAACATACCAAGAAATTTGTTAGAAAATATAATATAAAATTATTAATGTGACCTTCACATAATAACTTAAGTTTTGAGATTGAATTTGTTTTTTATATGATATCAGAGCCTTTGTAACTAAATCGTCATAAGTTTGATCTTTACCGCTTTTATTCTATTAATAAATAATTAATATTGTGGAGTTTCTTGCTACGGGTAAGAGGGGCTTATGTATTGTTAACCTTCAAGCTCAATAGACTTTTGTACGAGGATGTGTGTTAGAAAAATATAATATAGAACCATTAATGTGACTTTCACCTATATTTGAATTAGTTTTTTACTGAATTATTTGACATGTCCTGCTTGCATTCTCTTTGTCGATAGGTTTGACTGCTATCTTATTACCAAATTACTAATATCGCTTACCCCGTGGAATAGAATGAAGAAGGTAGCATAGGGTTTTTTTTTTCACCTTTTTTTTTTCCTGATAACTTATACATTTTTTTGGTTTCCAGTTTATATTTTGTTATGGACCTAACCCATGGATTCTATATCATCTACTAACAACTACTTAGTAACAAATTAGGATGAAGGCAACATCCCAGATATTATCAGATAAGGTATATCACCTTATTCCTCAACGGTTTGACTCCTAGGACTTTATGCATATGGATAACCCATCGATAAATAATGGGTTAAGCCTTTCAATACACATCTTTTGAACCCCATTCTCTTACTTTGCACACACCCCACTCGGCCTATTCTTTTAGCTGTGCATATACCCATGTCTTTTGGCCTTACACTTGTCGGGGTGGTTTCTTCCTTTAGAGACATATGAAAATATCAATATTATCGGTGGTATTTGATTTTACCTCTAGTGAAATTAAGGAAGCTTGACTCATTTGTAATTTTTCTTTTTAGTGAAAGATTTTTTGGACTAGCGTCCCATGGTTTTTACTTTTTTGCATTGAAGAAGGTTTTCCACATTAAAAATTTGATAGTGTCTCTATCTTTTTCGTTTATGCATTTTTCGTTTTTCTGCGTGTTGGCTGACCTGGTGACTTTAGGCCAATCTCTTTTTTTGGAAATATTCTAATCGGTTTATTGTTTCGCAACTAATTTGATGCGGGGCGTGCCAGGATTAAGGCTTTAAACCCCTCCCAAAAGTGATACTGGGGAGATTCGAACACATGCTCTTACCCTCACCTGCTTAGTTCCCATGTGTCAACTGAGCTATCACCATTTGATTCTTTAGGCCAATCTCTGAGTGCTGAACTCCGAGCTTGACGTGCTGAACTATGAATCATTACTGTGCTAATTTGAGGAACCATGTTCCAACAACACCTCCACAATAGACCACTACTAGATCCTATATTAATCATTGACCTTATGTATACATTCAATATCCTCTCAGATCGAACGTATTTTTTTAAGAAATTTTTAATCAGATTGTGTAGAAAAATCTGAAAATGTATTCATCGTACTGTGCTCTCCAAAGAGCAACTCTTCTCAAAATCTCAAAAGGTGCTGAGTTGGAATCCCATTCTAACTCAGGATTCTTGTGGTTCCGAAGGATCCAGCTACAGGAGAACCGGGAACGGGGAGCTTCCCCCCCCCTCCCTTTCCGCCCGATTCTTTGGTCTTAAGAATGAGTGATTGCCCTTCTCCGACCCTTACTGTCCAATCTGAGAGCGGATAGCTAATGCGTTCTGCTTTTTGTTTTTGAACAGGGTTGTATGTAAGTTCTGGAACTTAGATGCTTCTTTCAGACTCAGGAATCATCAATCTGCTCATCTTATGATGAGATTAGATTTATTCGTCCTGAATATCAAATATATACGTTGCTTCTTCAAAAAAAATTATTCTCCATCCTTTTTTTTCGTGTAGTGGTGTTTGCTTCGGTATACAAGAGTAAATTCTGAATGAAATTAATGTCGCAGATTTTACTTTCTTCCAAAAAAAAGTATTCATTTACAGGAATTTGGATCTTTAGCAATTGGATCTAGGTTAAAATAATAGAGTTATTTTCCTTGAACAATTCATTGTTTGGTTCTTTTGTTCTTGGCGTTCCACTTTTCAGTCTTTGTTTGCAGTATTATAATTTTGTACTTTTCATTTATAGCTGATTTCAGGGCTTCAGTGAGTTCCTTGGAGGAGGAGTTATGTTGTCTTAAAATGAAACGGGATGAGATCGTTAATAGAATGGATGAAAAACGGTATTGAAAAATTCTTAATATTTGTAGATGTAGTTATTGAAGTTTAATTTTATTTTGGCCTTTCATCAATGTCAAACATAAACTCTGCCACCGAATGCGGGAATTATTTGTCATGAGCTCCAGCATCTCTCTCAAAAGAAAACAATCCTACTCTGCATGAAATATCGGTTTGAACTCTTTATTTCGCTGAAAGGTTGCGATATAAAAAGGACAGCCTTGTGCCGTAAAACTGCCATGCTGTGCAGGGTTCAGGAAATGGTTTATAATAGGCAATATTACCTTATGTTTTGCAAGAATATGATAACATGAATTGAACATGTCACCTCCGGCTCACATATCGATATCTCTATGAATTTATGTTACGGTACTATTGGATGATAAAAACTGTAGCTGGACATTCACACGAGGTAGGAATCTTATATATATATATATATATTTACAACTTTTTTTTTTTTATAATCGCTCGTAATTATTTTTATGGTTGTTGGATCAAAATCAAATCAACAGTTATAAAATGACGTTCAATAAGAGCCATTGATTTAATTTTAATCTAACAACCATAAAAATGATTGTAAGAGGTTGTAAGGATAACCTCATTTACACACATATATATATATATAACATCTAATACAATTTGAAATCTACAATATTCATGTGCAATTAGTCTTCCATGGAAGTGGCATTAACTTACGCAACATTGCATGTTAATTTTGATGACTGAGCGATCTAATTCTATGTAGGGAAAATTTTACAGCACTATGCCTAGAATTTCAGAGAGAAATTGACAAGAGAGAAAAATGTGAAGTGAGGACTTTGCTGTCTGAGAAAGATTCCCTTGAAAATGAAATTCAACTTTTGGATAAGAAAAACAATGTTTTGAAAAATTCAGTATTGGCATTTGTGGAAGAAATTCTTGAAGATCTTCAGAGTTCAAACTCGGGTAATGTTGTTTTTTACAAGTCCTATGAATTTGCTATATTACTATTGACATCGGACTTCAATAGGGAAGTAGGTTTTAAATTTCTCTTCTAATCTGTATGTGTGTGTAAATTGTTTGTGTTGTTCGGAACCATTTTTCAGACTAGTTATGTACTTCCAGGAGTTTATTTTCTCCCACTAAACCAAACTAAGGACGACATATATAGGGAAGTTAAAACAGCTGCATACATTTTGGTAAAACAGATTTTTAGTTAATGGTTGAGTATTAGATGTAGATTATTGTACAATGATGTATTGCAACCTTTCCCATCCACCTCCCCACGCCCCCTACTGCAGCATTAGAAGTTGAGATTCAGAGGAGGAACTGGGAGAATGAGAAATTGCTTAAGGATATTAATGATTTGAAGACTACAATGCTTTCAGCAATTGGGACCAGTTATGATCTACTCTAAATTCCTTTCTGTAAACAATTAATTCATAGATCTGGAGCTTCATGTTGTCAATTTCGTCAAGTTTGATCATTATGGATCTTTTAGTGAGGTTTAGATATAGATAGATAAATATGGAGAGTTGAACAGAACAGATGACTAAAAAACAAATTAGTCAGCGTGTTGTAGTTCTCTTGTTCTGGTAAGAATGATAAACAATGTCAGAGCGCTTGTCCTTTGGTTCATCACTAATTAGCATCACGTCACGATATGTCATATTCATCCATGTGACTTTAAATTTAACTAGTTACCGAATATATGAAGAATCGTGACTTGCAAGTAAATGGTCACTGCATATATTTGAAGCAAAACTAAGTTATGGTACAAAGTCCCAGGCGCCAGCCAGAGGCAGCAACTGTATCAGGACTTCAAGAGCATGAAGTCCGCAGGTGTAAAGAACTGCAAATGGGTCCGTGAAAGATAGTTTTCTTGTTGAATTCTCTGTTACTTGCGGAGTATGAGCTTTGCGGTGATGCAGCTTTTCTCGTTTGGATGGATACAGTTGGCGCCTCAGGATTACGCTGCCTCACATGTGGCTACTTGCCAGAGGCGTTGGTCAAACTACAGACTTCATATGCTTATAGATTTTGAATTTGTACGGATAAGGAAATCTTTCCACTTCGTACTCAATCTTTTTTTCCCGCAGGGAGTGTTTGACATCGTTCGTACCTGAAAAAGAGGCTATCTCATTTCATTTGCTAGCTCTCAAAAATGACAAAAGTGCTCATTTAAGCTCTTTTTATTGGTAGGGGTCCGGCTCCATTCCTTCCACGAACTTGGTTCATTGACAATCGACGAAATAGCATGTGATTGTTGCGTCACTATCCATTTCAGTTTGGGGCCCATACCATAATGTCTTGCATTGTTCTGCTTCCGTATAACAGTAAGAAACAAACTGGGGCTTTCAGCTGATTAATGTGAATAAGGATGTTGATAAATGATAAACTCATTCATCAAAATCATGAAACACCCAGCCTTTGCTGCAAATTAGAAGGTTATACCACTTAAACAGGTTACATACATCTTAACTCAATTTTTACTTCTAATTGGACTTTCTCATGTAACTTCTAAATAATTTTCAGGGTGTGCATGATAATATTTTTTTAAATAATTTTTTATTTTTAATTTGGGGAATATAAATGGTGAAAAGTTACATTTGATAAAATCCATTTAATTTTATGATTCAGAGAGTGAAGTGGTAGTACATAAACAAATATATATATATGAAAAAAATATTTCTTCGGCAATTTGAGATAAATTTATCTCTGGCCTTTTCAAAATTATGTTGTTTTATTTATTTATTTTCTTATATCAATTGATTCACCTTTGAATGGTTATATTTTTTTTTTCTCTCTCTTCCTTCATTACCATTGATCCATCTTTGTACGATTACGATTTACTAGCCGGAGATAAAATTATCTCAAACAGCTTGAGAAACGATAAGCTATATATATATATATATATGGGATAGAATCTGTTTACAAATTTTTTTTTGTAAATTACACTAAGTATGACCGGTCGTACATTGCATGATTAAAGTATGGCCGGTCGTACTTAGTGTAGTTTGTAAGAGTTTGTAAATAAAAAAGTTTGTAAATATAATCTGTCCCTCTATATATATATATATATTCCTTTCTAATTTTTTTGTTTCTGGATACATAAATAGAAAAATATTTAAAAAATAATAATGTTAGAGAATATAATGATTGTTGTCTACACCCGAAGTTATGATGTCTTTTCCTTATCTTAAAAGTACAGAAAAAGTAAGGTGAACACATTTAAAATATGGGTATGTTTACCTACCCATCTTAAAGGTTCATGTCTTATTAAATTTGACTTAGCACTTTTTAACGTCAAATGAGTGAAAATCTTGTTCATGGTGGCGCTGCACGACGCTATTGCACAGAGGTAACAAGTCATTGACATAATTGATGTAGTTAAAAATCATAACAAGGTAATGATTTAAAACAATGAATACTATCATATTGAAATAAATTATTCTTAACTTGTCGTTACATTAGCAAGCCTTTCCAAATCGCTGTAATGTGATAACACAGCACCGCCACTAGCTAGTAATAGTTCCTTCTAGTCGAAGGACAAACGCTTAGAACCCAAGAGAAGGAAAAGAACAGGAAGCCCCCTCACAGCCAAGGAAAGGAGTCTGTGGTTTAAAATATTGTAATGAGAAGAAGAAAAAATTGCTGTCATCCATGTCACAGACAGTGACCGTGTTCATCACGTGAACATCACGTGCAACAAAAGATTGATTTTGGTACCGTGCAAATGTCTAGTCTATATTTGAATGCTTTATCTGCTGAGTCCTTTAATATTATCAAATTTCACATAAATGGTTTAAATTTGGAACCACTAGTAGGTGAGTTCTATATAAAATTCCACCTCCACTATTCTCATAGACATGTAGGGTTTTAGTTTACTACTTGTGCCCCAATCACGTAGGCTAGCCATGTATCTTAAATATGTAACAAGAAAACAAAAAGGCCATATATCTAAAATAACTGAACAAATTAATTTCTAATGATAATTTGAACAAATAATTCTGAGAGAAGAAAATAGTAGGGGCAGGCTCAATGTGAGAAGAGGAGCATTATTTGGAAATATCGAGGAAAAAAAAATGTCATTCTACCAAAAGAAAAACATACATACAGTATTTCTTTCTTTTTTTTAGTTTTCTAATGATGAAGCGAATAATTAGAGTGTTAATGAAATCGACCCAATTATATTTATTTTTTTGGATTACATCCGGGTTTTTCACAGCCGATAGCTATGAAACTAATCCCTCATCCCGGGTCAGCGCACAAAGCGATAAAAAGCTGGCCACGAAATGCTTTTCATTCACAAGAGTTGGGGTTCGAACCTCTTAGCTTGGATCAAAGTCGGTCTAAATAGATTTTTATGCTGCTAGTTGTTTCATAATTCAGGAAAATTCTTATTCCTATGACCTTTTGCAATGAGCTTGTCCATTGAGGACTAGGGTTGGAGCTTAGTATAAGCTAAGTGGGTAATGCCTCCAACTTTTTTTTCTAAAATAATAATTTTACGTATAATTTTTTTAAGGGTTTGTTTTTTCTGCGGTTACTGCAGATAAGTTATCTGCAGCAAGCTTAATACGACGTCGTTTTGGACAGAAATTATGGTATTTTTGTAATTTTAATTTATTTCATGATTATTATAGTCTTTATAATTATAATTTTTTAATATTTCAATCCCAAGACGACATCATTTTAAGAATAAATGCAGATAATTTATCTGCAGTAATTGCAGAAATATTTTTCCCTTTATTTTAAAACAAAATACAAATTGTTTAGCTAGCTTGGCCTGATAAACAAATTATTGATGACTTGTGTAAGCCTTGTTTGTACATCTCTGATAAGAAAGAAGGGCTTTTAGCACGACACAGCAAAAACTCAAAGTCCCAACTCCCAGTCCCACGTGGTGTTTTTGCCTTTGCTTTTCATTCGTGTAGGTTTTGTCAAACCAATTGTGAATCACTACTGGTAAATAGTGTACGACTCTAAAAAAAATTGATCTCTCTTGATACTGTTTTCTCTTTTAGCCAACTATTGATACCATAGGATCCTGTTCACCCCGTTTGAATCAGTCATCACTATTTTATATTACGAGAGACTGTTTCTGGGATTCTGATCAGTGATACCAATGCTGGTCGGGTTGCCTAAGATCAGAAATACGGGTGTAAATTAATTGGGTTAAGCTGTTCTATTTTTTAACTTAAACTGGTTAGTGATCTGGTTTATTAGTTTTGCGAAGATCCAAATTATAAGTCTGACATGATTTATATTAAAAAAAAAAATTGGCTTAGATATGTTAATCTGTTTAAATTTATTAAGCATTCAATAAGTAAAAAATAAATAAAATAATATTACTTTATTATTTAAAATCATTAAAATAATACTTTTATTTATTAAATTTAAAATAAATAATATGATATAAGCTGATCTATAAGTTTATAGGCTTAATATGTAAAAGAAAACCTATGAACTGCTTTTTAAATAGGCTTTTCAAAAATCTTAGTATGTTATATTTGATTCTATGAAATAGGTCGAATTTGATCTGATGTAAGCTGAGTCGTAAGTCCCAGATAAATCGCATGATACATTTACACCCTTAAACAGAAATCATGGCCAAAAAGTGGTAACATACGTGTTCATATGCATATCACACATTTTCACAAACATTTTAATAATAAATTAGAATATTTTATGTGCATCCACAGAAAAATAACAGCTCTATATAATAAGAATATTGTAATTTGATTAACATTGAAACTAGTTGAATAAGCCTCACCTACATATATAATTTAGTAAATAATGACTATCACAAAAATGATTGGTTTTTGCAGACCTCACAAAGCCTAATGTGAGCTTTTGATAGGAAAAATACATAAGTAAAAAAAATTGAATGAATAGTGATGATGAATTTAAGTGGGAATTTTTTGTCTGTGGGATCTTATTAATATTAAAATTTGATTTCTGACTTTCTCAAAACCATATAATGATAGCTAGTAGTAATCTCGTGAACCTGAAACACTGGTTTGAGATAAGATTGAAAGCCCTAAACATCATGTTTGGAAAGTCATATATAATTTTTATTTTATGAGGATAATAAAAAAAACAAAAGGAAATTAAAGAGAGAGAGAGAGAGAGAGACAGGGAGTGTTTCTTATGGTTTTGAACATTCCTTTCTTAATATTATTGACGTTTGCCAGTAAGTGTTGGGACCCAAAGTGTAGCTCTTTGGTGAAAAAGTTGGGACATTTCATATGATCCACCACAAACCCCACATTTGGTTTCTTCATTGGCGACCAGAGAAAGTTAGGAGCACAGGACCACCACATACCCCCTTTGAATTTCTTCCTATATAACAACACCCTTCATGCAATCTAATCATCACTTCATGTTTCAACTGGATTGCACATTACAAAGCATGATAAAGCCCTCAAAAGTACACTGCATGTTTGAGAAAGAGCAAAGAGGAAACAAGCAAAACCTCAAGTTCACAGAGAAGATGAAGTTAGAAACTGAGACTATTAGAGTATCTAAACGAAGGCTTATGGGAAAAAGATTAGGTGCTCTTCTCAAAGAAGGTAGAGGAAGGTTTTATATACTTAGAAGATGTATCATAATGCTTCTCTGCTCCCAAGATTAGTGAGTATTTTTATATCTGTTAAGTTTTGTTACTAATTAATATAAAGTTGTATATTACTGTCTCTTCTAACGAGAAGAGAAGTTGTTATAATTGATTGTTGAAATAAAACTACAAGTAACTCTCTCTTTTTCTTTCAACTTTTTTCTTGTTCTAGTTGTTATCCTAAAACAAGAATTAAGAAACTAATCTCTTATGCATCTTCTCTATATTGTCCTTATCATGGTGAGGTTAGGTTTTCTTACCATATTCTTTATTTTTCTTTGATCTCAATGAAACTTTTTGAACATAAAATATTTCTGATGAAATATTTCAAACTTTTTTTGGACTTTTGCCTTGACGTTGCACTATGGTCTTTACCCTTTATTTTTTTCCAAAGAAGGCCCAAAAGAAAAAGAAAGAAAGACCGA